ACGGACACACATTCGGCATTCAGTACGTGCGCAAGGATAAGAAATATTGGCAGTGCAATTTGTCGCGCAAGTTCAATTGCAAGGCTCGGGTGACGACGACAGATACCGGTGAGATAATCGTGACGAACAACGAGCACTGCCACACGGAGATACGCCAGCACTTGCGTAAGGACTATCAGCGGAACAAGGTCATGATGAATGCCCTGATCAATTTGAGCACAAATCGTTTAGCCGAGATGCGGCGCCACAATTTGGCCGGATTGGGTGCGTTGCCAGCGATGGGCATGGTATCGGGTGCGCCAATCATTGATGAGGTCGTGCAGAATCTGCACGATCTGGCCAAGGCATCGGCCGAGGCGAGCCAGCAGCAGCAACAGCAACGGGCCCATGAGGCGCTTAAGTATGAGAACGATGAACCGCTAGACTGTGGCATTCGCAATGCTTCTGCCTTGGAGACTATGGCGCGTAGTTTTATGAGCAGCAACACTCAAAGCCCAAATAACGACACTGATCTAACCAAAGAGCATGATTGGCCGTGCAAGAATGAAGATGCTGATGTACACTGAGGGTGCACGTTTCAAATTGTTGGAGAGCGCGCGAACGCAACGTTGCATTTTCGATGCCGATGACAGCGGCCGAAGTTTTCGTTAGGCAAGCGCCACCTGGCGCATTTAGACGTCAATTTAAAAGAAATACAAACAAATTAAGTACAAACGGAAAGCCGCAATAATACTCAAATAAATAAAATATAAAGACGATACCAAAATGGATTCCAAAGAATTTAGTTAATAAACTACATTTGAATAGCGAATTTAAGAAAAATATACATTTCTGTTAACTGCAGCAAGACATATATGAAGTAGTATCGTTTTATGTTATTTTAGTTTTACATTGTAATAACTTGAATTTTTAATAAAATTTTATATTTTCTTGGGTGTGTATGAGTATGATTATGAACTTAAATATTAATCACACGACTCAGCTTCTGTATGCGATTCAACAGAAGATCACCCTGCTTGATGGTTGCCTGATACTGCCAATTCTTGTTATCTGGTCGATTTGTCTCCACAATGCCGCCCACGCGATCCACCTTGGCATGCAGGCGTCCAGCGGCGATGAATCGGGCCAGCTCCTGATCGATGTAGTCGACAGTGACGCCAAACGCCTCTGCCATATATTGAAGCGTTAGCGAGCGATAAGACTCCAAAAGTTGTGTGTATCCCAAGATGCGCATCTCTCGTACGTAGTAACGGTAATGGGGATGCACGAGATAATCGGCGCGCAGCTGCTTCTCCACCTGAGCAAGATTCACGTAGAACTGTTCGTACTGGCAGTTGAAGAGCGAGAACAGGAACTGCTTTACATCGGGCAGGCCGTGCAGCACCTCCTGGATTTCGGAGCCCTTCACTACCTTCTCGCGCAGCTCATTGCGGGGCAGCGCAATCATGGCCACATACACAGTGTAGCGCACGAAGGTCGGGTAGTCCATGAGCTCGTATGAGGTGAAGGTGCTGACTGTGTCCAGGAAGAAGGTGGCCGCTGCCTTGAAGTCGCGCACAGCAACCGAGTAAATTCCCTGATATACCTTCAAACGGTTACGGCGATCCCAGTCGCCGCCCTCCTCAATCAAATACTTGGCCTTGTCGATGTTGCGTGTGATTAGGTCGTGATCGAGATAGAAGAGGCCCAGGCGAATTAAATGGAAGACAATGTCCAGGCGATGGCCCAACGACACGGTCTTCTCGTACGTCTTGCGAAAGGCTGATTCGGCGGCAGCCTTGTCGCCGATACGGCACAGGTATTCCGACTTCTTCAGATTGGCTTCGCGTACCTCCATCTCGCCTAGATTCTTCTCGGCATCATCAATGGCTGCGTCCAGCTGTTCAATTGCAATGCGGTTCTGTTCGCGCATACGTGCCAGCATATCCTTGTCCACAGTCCAATTTAACTCTGTGCAGATGTGCTCATACCATGGGGCCATATTATCGGCTCGAATAGCGTCGAGCAGCTTGGTTTTAAGTGCTGCATCTTGTTTGTGTTCAGAGAGCGTGAGAAGGAACTTTGTTTGTGCCAACTCCAGGTTGGGGTTTTTCTCCAGGCCCTGTTCCTCAAGGTTTTCAGTCGGCATTTTGTTCTCTTTGAGGTCTGGATAAAATTAAACAAGGAAATAATTTCCAATTCAAGATGAACTATGTTTTTGTCAAAGCCGCAGAGTCATGTACGGACTAAAGTTGGCTGCGCTGTTTTCAACAGTGTTGCAAAATCTCGCATCTATAATCGATAAGACTGATACCAAATTATTTATCGAAAGGAAAAAAGGGGGAGTGCAAGAACAATTGATTTTTTGTGTGGAAAAGTGATAGTGGGCCCCAAATTTGTGGAAAATTTTTGATTTTCCAGCCGACTGCCTAAACTAGAGCACGAATTTTCAATAAGGTCCGTTTGCGCAGCTAGAAGACGCAACAATGATTGGTGGTTTGTTCGTTTACAACCACAAGGGCGAGGTACTCATATCCCGAGTTTATCGCGATGACATCGGTCGCAACGCCGTGGACGCTTTTCGGGTAAATGTCATCCATGCCCGGCAGCAGGTGCGCTCCCCAGTGACGAACATTGCGAGAACCAGCTTCTTTCACATAAAGGTTTGTGCCACGTCAACCGGATATGAAAGATCGTTGCCTTTAATGACTGTCCCCCTCTGTATTTATAGCGTGCCAACATTTGGCTCGCAGCTGTGACCAAGCAAAATGTGAATGCTGCCATGGTGTTCGAGTTTCTGCTAAAGATCATTGAGGTGATGCAGTCGTACTTTGGCAAGATCTCCGAGGAGAACATCAAGAACAACTTTGTGCTCATCTATGAGCTGCTCGACGAGATCTTGGACTTTGGCTACCCGCAGAACACCGACTCGGGCACTCTCAAGACATTTATCACACAGCAGGGCATCAAGTCGGCCACCAAGGAGGAGCAAATGCAAATCACCTCCCAGGTTACGGGACAAATTGGATGGCGACGCGAGGGCATTAAGTACCGACGCAACGAACTGTTCCTCGATGTGCTAGAGTATGTCAATCTGCTAATGAGCCCGCAAGGTCAAGTGCTGTCAGCTCACGTGGCTGGCAAGGTGGTCATGAAATCCTATCTGTCAGGTAGGTCATGAAATACTCTCCAGTCGCTTTATAGATAATTATCAATCCTATTTCTCAGGCATGCCCGAATGCAAGTTTGGTATCAATGACAAAATCGTTATGGAATCAAAAGGCCGAGGTCTTTCCGGTAACTCGGAGGCCGAAACGTCGCGCTCTGGCAAGCCGGTGGTTGTAATTGACGATTGCCAGTTCCATCAGTGCGTCAAGCTGAGCAAATTCGAGACGGAGCATTCGATTAGCTTCATACCGCCGGACGGTGAATTCGAGCTAATGCGATACCGCACAACAAAAGACATTTCACTGCCATTCCGAGTTATACCCTTGGTCCGAGAGGTGGGCCGCACCAAGATGGAGGTGAAAGTGGTGCTCAAATCGAATTTCAAGCCCTCGCTGCTTGGCCAGAAGATCGAGGTGAAGATACCCACTCCGCTCAACACCTCGGGCGTGCAATTGATTTGCCTCAAGGGTAAGGCCAAGTACAAGGCATCGGAGAACGCAATCGTCTGGAAAATCAAGCGAATGGCTGGCATGAAGGAGACGCAGCTCTCGGCCGAAATTGAACTACTCGAAACGGATACCAAAAAGAAATGGACTCGCCCACCCATATCCATGAACTTTGAGGTCCCATTTGCGCCATCAGGCTTCAAGGTGCGCTACCTAAAAGTCTTCGAGCCGAAGATCAACTACTCCGATCACGACGTGGTCAAATGGGTGCGCTACATTGGCCGCAGCGGCCTCTACGAGACCCGATGCTAAACGTGTCCCACGATGTTGTTTTGCATCGAAAGAGCGAAAGGAGTAAACACAAATAAGAGAATTGAACGTTAGAGCCAATATTTATTGTTATTGGAATTTAACTCAATCCAAATTGAACAAATGTCTCGTATTCCAAATTTAGTTATTCAACAATGGGCGAATAGTTAGCCCACAGCAATCCTATATATACAAATATACCAAGCATATATAGTAGCGCAACGGACACACATACATATATTATACATACCATTATATATATACAATATATATATTATATTATTATTATTTACACATTATAATTATACTCCTATCGTTTACAACACGCCTTGGCGCGCGTCTCAAATCTCACTCTCATATGTTCTTTTGCTGCTCCCAACTATGATTTGTATTATTATATTAAAAAGTTTATCCATTTTATGAACATTTAATGTAGACCAAAATCTGTCAGTCAACGCTAAATGATATTGATATTCAAAGTGTTAATACTATTCGAATTGTTTAATAAATAAATAGCATACATATACCTATAATCAGAATAATGAATAACTAGCCGCCTCTATTATGACTAATTTTAAAGATATAGCTCGCCTCTTTGGACACATAATAAATGTTTAGATATGTGCCACAACTGGACTTACAATTTATATATATAGACTATGCCCAGCTGAAGTTAATTAACAATTCGCTGATAAACACACACAAATGACATATCGTTTGATTGTGTGTATGTCTGTGTGTGTGTGAGGATACTGTGTGGTCGTATATGTACGTGCACTGATATCTTTAACTGGCCTTTAAAATTATGATGTATATAAGAACTGTTGCTGGACATACCCGACTATCAAATACCCTATAAACAGCTTGGGACAATACAGTTATCTACAGGTAAACAAGGTATACAAAAAGTAAGTTTTTCCTGAAACAATTTAACTCTTTTTGAATCGCATAGATCGCTTATCGGAACAACAATCGATAAATCGGATCAACAAATCATATACACTTCACTCTAAACTCTGTGTAAACTTGCAAATAAACCCATAGAAGTATGTATGGGCCTCATACATACATACATTACAGCAAAATCAATATACCCAATTAACTCACTCCGCATGTGGTTTAGGGTCTAATTAGATAGTGTGGTGCGCGCTTGGTGCTTGGCGTTGGCTCTTTACACAATAAATGGAAAACTTTCGTTGACCAAAGTTCATTTTTGATTTATACGGAGACAGTAGTTATTGTTATTTTTAGTAGTCACCGGGCCTGCGAAATTGGATTTCAGTTTGGTTACGGTTAGATATTAATTAATTAGAATATATATGTATATATGATAGACATACACACACATACATACATATGCATATGTACTCATAAGGAGTTGCGCCTTATCTCTAGACTGAATCATCAAATCGAACTACAATTTAACAGCATTGATAACAACGGAACTGCAATTTCAGTTAAAGAAGGCCAAAAATGAACGCTTTGGTTCCCGATGTAGTGGATGAGGCGCCACCGAAGGACAAGCTGAAGGTCACCTATGCAGCAGATCTGTCTGTCAAGGAGGGCAACGAGCTGACGCCCTTGCAGGTCAAAGATGAGCCCCAAGTCTCGTGGGACACGCCAGAGGGCGAAGAGGAGCAGCTGTACACGCTGCTAATGGTCGATCCCGATGCACCCAGTCGTAAGGAGCCCAAGTTCCGGGAAATCTTGCACTGGGCCGTTGTCAACATACCCGGCAATCAGCTGAGCAAGGGTCAAACTCTGGCGGAATACATTGGCTCCGGCCCGCCAGAGGGCACCGGCCTGCATCGCTATATATTTCTGCTCTATCGCCAGAGCCAGAGGATTGAGGAGACGCTGCACATAGATAAGCGGTATATGTATATATAGAGATTCAAATCAACAATTATATAACCGGGTATATCCAATCGCAGCACTCGCGAAGGTCGCTTCAACTTCAGTGCCCGAACCTTTGCTGGCAAACATGGCCTGGGCAAGCCCATAGCTGGCTGCTTCTACGAGGCGCAGTATGATGACTATGTGCCCATACGGAACAAGGATTTCGCTGGCTGAGCAGGTGTTCAAAGTTTGCCGTTGTAGTCATCCTTGTCAATAAATTGAAGCATTGAGTGCACTTATCGCCGCTGCTATCAGCTGGCCAAGTCAGTCGACTCGGCCCGACTCGTCTTTCTCTTTATCTTTATCTAGAGCGCATTGGGGCAAACAAAAAAAATGCACGAAAATGAAAAACTGATTACGGCCAACCACACGTCGACTTGGCCGGGATCGATAAATAGCGCACGCATTGTCATTGGCAGGCAGAGTCACTGCGTTAACGCCAGACAGAGCATAACCAGCAGCAAGAGCAACATGGACACCAGCGGTATCATTCCCGACATCATCGACGACAAGCCAAAGGCTCGTGTTACCGTCACCTACCCATCCGGTGCTCAGGTCGATGTCGGCAAGGAGCTCACACCCACCCAGGTGAAGGACCAGCCCACCGTTAGCTGGGATGCCGAAGCTGGCGCCCTGTACACTCTCCTCATGGTCGATCCTGATGCACCCAGCCGCAGCGATCCCACGATGCGCGAGGTGCTCCACTGGGCCGTGATCAACATTCCCGGCAACAACGTGGCCAATGGCCAAGTGCTCGCCGAGTATGTGGGCGCCGGCCCAGCTCAGGGCAGCGGTCTGCATCGCTATGTCTTCTTTGTCTTCAAGCAGAACGACAAGATCACCAGCGACAAGTTCATCAGCAAGACGTAAGCGGATCTGCAGCCCACTTCTGGCTTCCATTGGGCATTTATAATACAAAATTGTCGTATTTTTCAGCACTCTGGAGGGTCGTCTCAATGTGAAGATCCGCGACTATGTGGCCAAGTATAACTTCGGCATCCCTGTGGCCGGCAACTTCTTCCAGGCTCAGTACGACGACTCCGTGCCCGCCATCCGTGCCCAGCTGGGCAAATAAGCAACACACTCTTGTTCTCTGTACATCATGAATCAATAAATCTTTATACCTATTTGTTCATAAGCAAAACAAAGTCAACTACGTCCTATTCCTTGCCCCTGAAGAAGTCGGCGACCAGCTTGTTGAACTCCTCGGCGTAGCGCAGATGTATATTGTGTTTGCCGTCGGGGAACTCGTGGTAAAGTGCGCTGGGCAGCCGCTGCTTTAGCCAGGGTACATGCTCAGGGGCAATCATTGGATCCTTTTTACCGTGCAATATGAAGACGGGCGCCTTAATTTGCTCCACTTCGCTGCGACAGAAGTCCCCATCGCGTTGCTTATAGAACTCGCAAGCGGCATCGACCCACTCGCCCCATAGTTGGGCGAATCGCTCCACGCCATAGACTTTCTCCATGGGCTCTCGCATGCGTGGCGACCATTTAGCCACGTCGCGTATTGCTTGCAGTGCCTGCACCTCATCTTTGTTTAGATACGCACCGGCACCCCATATGGCCAGCTTCTCCACAGCATCGGCATGTCGGCCAGCGAGGATCAGTGCAGTAATGCCGCCATCGCTCCAGCCTAAGATTGAGAACTTGGGTCTGTTCAGTGCACGCATTAGCTTGACAGCTGCCTCAGCATCCTCGCGAAAGAACTCCAGCCCAAACTTCCTTTGCGGCGGCACCGATTTGCCGTAGCCGGGCGGATCCCAAGCAATAATCGTATGATCTGGCAACAATTTAGGCAGCTGTTCGATCTGTGGCTTAAAATCCGTCCAGGCAGAGCCCAAGGCGCCCGGCATTAAGAGCAAGCTGCGCGAGCCGCTGCCACTTTCGACAATGTGCAAGTCACCTGTATCGGGCACCTGCACCTTGCGCTCCGTATGGGCGCATCTGCTGGCCATTCCAGGCAAGAGGCGACCGGCCGCCAGACGGCTAAGTCGAGTGCCTACTATCATTACGTAATCGAGCTGTTATCAGGGGAATAAGCGTTAGTCAAATTGTCTCTGTCGAGTACTCTTTAAATCAGCGCGTTTGCCTGTTGATGTGTTAATAAACACACACATACAGCCACACACCTGCCTTGTAAAGTGTTCGATAATAAATCTCAAATTAATCGCACAGCTGTAAACGTCACGAACACAACAACTGGCTTTTAGGAGAGCGGGCAGAAGTGATGGGTGGCAAGCTGTTGTTCAGCTGTTGCTGCGTTACTTTTACAACACTACTGCTAACAGCTAGAACTGTTATTAACATAAGTCACATTTAAATTGATTGTCTTACTATTTGTTGGTAAGTTCTACACCGATCGAATAGATAAATAAACAAATAATATAAAATGATTAATATTATTTTACTATTTACTGGCACTCTACCGTAAAACAATTCATATCTTGTTACTATTTGAACCTAACGTTTAAAATTCTGTTATTTAACATTTGTATTTGCGTATTAATTGACATCCTCAAAACTATGCAACATTTAAATGCTTATTATATCCTTGTATACTAACAATGCTAACAAATTATTTACGTAATAGAGCCAAAATGCCATGATTCCCTTTTTTTATTAGGGGCATTAATATTCTCAAAGCGTACTCAGCTGTGGCCTCAATCATATGAAATACCCTGTGTCTGCAAACGTTTCAAAGCTTCTTGCTAGGCATTCCTCAACAGTCGCTGCATCACGTTGCTGCAGTTAAAACGGGCAGCGCGTTCTCATGTGCGAGACTGAGCTTAACATTGCTCGCTAAATGGAAAAAATCGTATAATTAAATTCTGAAAATATCCTGCAGTTAATGCGCAATGGTTAGTGCGTGATTTGTGTATAGAGTGACGTTAATACAGATGCATATTCGTAAAAGCGCGAACACACACGCACACACATACCAAGGCACTGCGTCGGCCTTGCAAGAATTGTGTGAAACTGCATATTATATGCGCTTAACCTAACTGTTCCCCTTTACACTAACGCGTGCGGTCGAAAATATCCTACAAATTCACACGCACATAGGCACACAAGCAGATGCACATACACATTAAGTTATGCACAGCTGCAAATGCAAATCGAATTTGACGCCGAGCTGTCGAAGTTGTGAAGTGTGTAATAAATGTCAAGGCATTTACACGGGTCGTCCTAGACGTCCCTGTATCAGTATATATGTATGTATACATCTATGTATGTACAATTATATGTATATGCATGTGTATATTCTGTCCCTTCTAATACGCTTCGAGTGGTGCAGGTTATGAACCTGCGTGTTCTGCGCTCATTACGCATGTGTGAGTGTATGTATGTGCGCGTGTGTGCGTGTGAGTGTGTGTATGCGCATATATGTATGTATGTTAGTAGTACGCATATGCATGCCTCGTCGAAGCAAGCGAGCTTTTAATTTTTGGCATTCTGATGCCCTACACACAACAGACAAGGCTATTCGTAGTCTATTTCTCAGGGCGAATGGAAGTGCAGGCGAAAGTTGATTGTTGCTAAATGAAGACAACTGTTTTAGTGATTAAATAGTGCGCATGTAAATGATAAAATAGTGAAAATAGTGAGCAAGAATATTAAATATAATTTGTGTGCCCTACAGCACGGATGTAGCGCATACGAAATGTTGCCTACGCCGTCAGCTGGCAAGCAGTAAATTCGCAGTCGGAGCTTTTGTTATCCATTGGAAGCGCTGCGAAGGAACTGAGTTTGAAATTGCAGTTCAGTCTTGTCGTGAATGCAGCGCAGATCGATATTAAAACCTGAAGCAGCGGGAAGCTGAATTGTCCGAAAAAATTCGACACATAATTTTTGTAATCCCATTTCGGGTAAAAAGTGTCCAGATTCCTTATGATTAATACTAAATCAGTATCCCCAAAGTGAAACTTAAATTGTTGAAAACTGTGGAAAGAAAAGAAAAAGTGCGAGCGAGTGTGTGCTGGACCGTTGTGTAAGCAAGTGAAGTGCTTGAACCACAAATCAGTTGATAGCCAAAATCAATAGTTCAAATATCATCGGATAAGCGTTGATTGATGTAAAGAAATCGTTTAAATCGTTCATAGTGCTCCCAAGCATAGCTTGGCATTCGAAATTTTCGCCTACGTATAGTGAAAATTTTCCGATTTTTAGTATGTACATGTACGTTGAGGCGCTTGTGGGCGCCATAGCTGTTAAAACGGGTGGAGGGGGTGTCCGGCGAGCTTTTTCCACCCCTACGCCTAGCCACAAATTAGGCTGCTGCTGCTGCTGCTAACGGCACTCGAACACGAATAAACTGTCGAAATAATAGAGAAATGTGCACGCTTGCTAGTAATTTCTCAACCCATATGCAAATAAAATGTACAAAATGCCCAACACTCAAAGAACAACGCAATCAAAGAGTAAAAAACATCAATTCAAGTGAATTCTAAGTGACGGTAACAGTTCAGTAACAGTTGAGTAACAGCCGCAGCCAACATTACGCGCGACGAGCTTTTCACTCTCTCCCTCTGTCTCTCTCTCTCTGGCTCACTCTCTCTATCTGTCGCTCTTTGCAACTGGAAAAAGTTCAATGAAAGTTCGAAGCGCGGATAAAATTCCAATGCGTTTCGGCCTCCCATAGTAATAGTACATACCAATACAAGGACAAAAACAAAGCAGAAGCAGAAACAGGAAAGCTGACTCTCAAGGACTGGAATACAACGTGTATACGCGCAAAGCAAGGCGACATTTACGTTTTACGCGCGCAACTCTGTGTTTGCGTGTGTGTAAGTGTGCTAGTGTGTTAGTGTGCTAGTGTTGGTGCTACTGTGTGTGAGTGTGTGCGTGTGTGTGAATGAGCGCGCGCCAAGTGCAACATATCAAAGCTTAAGTTATATATACATACACACACCAACATCATCCTCACACAGACTATGCACTTGAGACAATGACAGACCACAGCATTGATTACGCCCGCAAAATGGACGCCGCTGAGGAGCTACTGTCGCAACTAGAGAATAATAATAATAATAATACTAGAAACAATAGTAATAATAGAAGCACGCGATTGCTGCCCGCGCCCATTAAGGTCTGCTCCTCCACCTCCGACTTGCTGTTTAACAAGGCGCGTCGACGTCGAAGAGAACTGGATGAACGGCACTCGCAGCTCAGTCCACGTCCACAGCCAGGTGCTCAGCCTCGTCCTTGCCAACGGCCGCTTGTGATGGTCGAACATCGTCGCTCATACCGAGTGCTGATCGTGACGGCGCTCCTGGTTAGCCTGGTGACCAGCTTCATAACGATTAGCGCTGGCTTTCAGCTGGACGGCTCGCAGAATTCGTTCTACACCTTTCGCAAATGGTATACTGGCCTGAATGGCACCTTGGAGCTGGAGTTCAAGACGGAGCAGCCGAATGGCCTCGTCCTTTATACAGACGATGGCGGCACCTATGACTTCTTCGAGCTGAAGCTTGTCGAGGGTGCACTCCGACTGCGCTACAACCTGGGCGGGGGAGCGCAGATCATAACGGTGGGACGCGAGCTGCACGACGGACACTGGCACAAGGTTCAAGTGCTGCGCAATGACGACCAGACCTCTCTCATTGTGGACGGAGTCTCCCAGCAGCGCACCACCAAGGGCAAGGAGTTCCAGTTCGGAAAATTCGCAAGCAACTCGGATGTGTACGTGGGCGGCATGCCCAATTGGTATAGCAGCAAGCTCGCCTTGCTGGCTCTGCCCAGCGTCATCTTCGAGCCACGCTTCCGCGGCGCCATTCGCAACCTCGTCTATGCGGATCAGCCCGGTGGCACCACGCGAAGACAGGAGATGAAGCAGCCGCGCGACATCAAGTGCGGCGATGCGCCCTGTGACCATGGCGAGATGCCTACCCGGGAGAGAGGATTGAGGGTAAGTGATTTTGAGTTTATCACTTTGACCGTGAGCGACAGGAATACGACTTTGAATCCAATATAATATAACCGAAAAATGCAACCCAAAAATAGATTTCGGCTTATTAGACAGACTGACAACAGGACAGAGAAATAGACAGATGAATGGAAAAGGCAGGCATATAAAAAGACAGACAGTTAGATGACAGACGGAGGTACGGACGAACACCAGACAGGCAGACGGACAAACGAACGGACAGGCAGGCAGACATATAGATAGATTGACAACCGGAAAGACAGACGGATAGCGAATAGAAAACTGACTGTGCGGAACAAGCAGACAAACGTTTATATTAACGGCAATAAATGGATCTGGTCAGCCTGTCCTCAAAAAGAATATGTAGATTTTGACGAGTATATGTCATATCAGTTAACAAAAGTCCACTTATTCACTTATATACACATAATCTCTTAAGCTAAATTTTATCTGGGAACGACCTCTTAAGTAGCATGCTAATCAAATTCCTTAGGGCGTTCGAGGGAATACGACGGATGCGTGCGAACGCAACGATCCCTGCCAACATGGAGGCATATGTATATCCACTGACTCGGGCCCGATATGCGAGTGTCGCAATCTGGAATACGATGGCCAGTACTGTGAGAAGGAGAAGGCGCCATCGGAGGCAACGTTCCGCGGTACACAGTTCCTCTCGTACGACTTGGGCCAGACAGGCGCTGAGCCCATTGTCAGTGCCCAGGATGCGATTTCGTTCTACTTTCGCACCCGCCAACCGAACGGACTACTCTTCTATACGGGACACGGCACGGACTATCTGAATCTGGCGCTGCGCGACGGCGGCGTTTCGCTGACCATGGGCCTGGCCAACGGGAAGCAGGAGATGCACATCAAGCCAGCCAAGGTGCGCTTCGATGATCATCAGTGGCACAAGGTCACTGTCCATCGACGCATTCAGGAAATCTCGTCCATAACCAGCTTCTGTCGAGTGAGTACTACCAGAGATTGCTCTACTCAGCAGAGATCTAATGAGTGCATCTCCCACAGCTCGTCACTGTTGTGGATGACGTGTACACGGACCACTCCCACATCGCTGGCAAGTTCACCATGCTCTCCTCCTCGCGCGTTTATGTCGGCGGCGCCGTCAATCCGCGAGCTTTGCTGGGCGCCCGGGTTCACAACAATTTTGTGGGCTGTCTGCGCAAGGTGGAGTTCTCGGCGGATACGTTGAATCTGAATCTAATCGATCTGGCCAAGACCGGCTCCAAGTTGATTCAAGTGGCGGGCAACGTGGAGTATCAGTGCCCAAGTGGCGATCCACAGGATCCGGTTACCTTCACCACGCGCGAATCCCATTTGGTAAGTGGATGAACGAGAGAAGAGCTATTCAATGTGTTAATCTTATCTTATCTTATCTTTAGGTTCTGCCACCTTGGGAGACGGGCAAGCAGAGCTCAATCAGCTTTAAATTCCGCACCAAGGAACCCAATGGCATCATCATTCTGGCCACCGGCTCCAAGCAGCCACGCGCTAAAAACGTAAGTCCAAGATCTCGAGAAGAGTTTCCCGTTTTCATTTAGCATATGCTTTGCCTCGCTTTGCAGCCCGTTTTGATTGCCATAGAGCTGCTGAATGGTCACATCTATATACACCTGGATCTGGGCTCGGGCGCCTCCAAGGTACGCGCCTCGAGGCGTCGCGTCGACGATGGCGACTGGCATGATCTTATCTTGCGGCGCAACGGTCGTGATGCCAAGGTGAGTGTGGATGGTGTCTGGAATGATTTCCGTACACCAGGCGATGGCACCATACTCGAGCTGGACGGCCACATGTATGTGGGCGGCGTTGGCCCGGCCTACAACAGCGTTGCCTGGCCGGCGGCCATTTGGACGGCAACGCTGCGGCAAGGATTTGTGGGCTGCTTGCGTGACCTGGTGCTCAGTGGGAAGGCGATCGATATAGCAGCCTTTGCACGCGTCCAAGATTCAGGTGAGTGTGTCGTGACAATTAGCATATATTACAATAGTTAGCTTGAATGCTTGACTAACACACGAAATGCGCTCGACAGCCTCGGTGAAGCCCTCGTGCCATGTGCAGGGGAACGTGTGCGGCGGCAATCCCTGCCTGAATGGCGGCACCTGTTTGGAGGGCTGGAACCGGCCCATCTGCGACTGCTCAGCCACGCTGTACGGCGGACCCACGTGCGGCAGGGAGCTGGCCACGCTGGCCTTCAACGGCAGCCAGCACATGACCATTTGGCTGGCCAATGGCCAGGGCACCAAGACCCAGACAGAGGAGCTGGTCATACGCTTCAAGACATCCCGTCCGGCGGGGCTGCTTCTCCTGACGAGCGCCGAGTCGAATTCACCTGATCGCCTGGAGATTGCACTCGTGGCAGGTCGTATACGCGCCAGCGTGCGGCTCAGCGATCGCGAGAAGGTAGAGATTATAGAAAACGGAAATGTTTTACTCACTTTCATGTCAACTAATCCAACTAATCCGCCTCTGTATACCCTGTAGAACTTGCTCGCTGGCCAATCGGTGCTCAATGACAACAATTGGCACACGATTCGATTCTCGCGCAGAGCCTCGAATCTGCGCTTACAAGTCGACGGGGCTCCCCCCGTCAGGGGTATGTTATGTATGTATCAACAGCACCATCTAACGCCCTACTACGTGTCGTGCCGTGTCGTTTTTTTCTTTTTTTTGGAAGGATACTCCCAAAGATCTCGAGTCCCCTAAGAACCCAACTTGATTAGTTTCGCATTGAAGTGCCCAAATCAGAGCAGCCCGAATCAGAATCTGTGCATTACTGCAGTTAGTTATATATATGTATATATGCAAACAATGAACCCGTTCTCACAGTTCTATACTGTACCTGTCCCGGCCCCTCCTTCTTGTTACCCTTTTGCGTAAAGGTGTGTGCAGGTGCTAGCATCCAGTTAACAAATAATAATAAACCAAAACAGTTAGCAGCGGGTTTTACTTTCGTTTTGTTCTAAAACTTTCAATTTTTGCTTTGAGAGTTAATTTTTTGGTTTAACAACACACACACCCACACACACACACACAAAGACAAGAATATATAACACACATACTAATACGGTTAAGAGAATCTTAAATGATATACATACACATATATCATATATACAGACATTTGCTTTTCCATTAATTCTTTGTTGTTCATCATGAGACACACTCACACACACACACACACTAACAGTTTCTCCATGCATACTTACATACATACAATAGCCGATATTTGATCATAACACGTATACGTATCACAAATCACCGTTACACCAATACATACATATGTACGCCTCTTTCACGTAATACGTAACGTTTAACGTAACTTCTCACCACATTTACGTTGCCGTATTCTGATTTCAATTTCAATTTCAATTCGAATTTGTTGAAAAAAAAAAGTTTCACAAAAAATACTTTAAAAATACATACTAAAACAAAAGCCTTTGCCAGTTCTCATCATTCATTAAAAATAATAATTTTGTTCGACTCTCGTTAGTTTGTTTTTGAGACTTTTTCAAAACATCTTGATGTTGTGTTTTCATTTGCGATTTTCCCTCTACTACTACTACTACTACTACTCTCTGCCATCTAAGTATTTTGTTTGATTTACCAAAATTAACTCAAAATCCAAAATCCAACCTAAACAGCGACAGTTAAAAAGCTATACTTATATAGTTATATATGTGCATACATATAAGCATTCTATATGTATGTATGTGTATTGTGTATAAATCGAAAAGTGAATAAAAATATAATGTTCAGGTGTACAGTTACAGTTAGAGTTACAGTGAAAGCCGCTGAACTCGCATTGTATGTTATAAATATCTATGCAATATGGAAACTTGATGATTGTCTTGTAAATTGTTATGTCCTTGAAAATAATAATAATCATATCATATACTGAGTACCTATAGATGTTCAAGTGAAAATTAATCAATCTTATATTTTCTTGATGTTGAGCTTTCTCTCTTGTATTTATTCTTTTGTGCCCAACATCAAGCATTTTATAACTATTACTATTTATAATTTCTGTATTTTTTTTGTTTTTAATTTGTTTTTTCTTTTTCACTTTTTTATTTTGATGTAAATATCAAGATTTATACTTACAGGCAATACTAAGCATAAGCTAAAAAAAAAACTAAAAACAGTGAAAGTGTGGTATGTGAACAGAATGTTCTAAATTTTTTTAATTTGAGGCGCGTGTTCCTTCGTATATATATCTTTAAATTATATATATACATGTACAAGCAAAACAACAGCAACAGCGACAGCGACAGCAATATTCTAATCACAATCTGTGATCTAAATGACCTTTTCTATTTCAAAATGCAAACAGCAAACAGAAAATGAAAATAAAAATGAAAAATAATTTCAATTCTTTTAGGCGAGAGAGCAAAAAAATCGACACGCAAGAAACTCGGTGAAGCATTTTTTTGCCAAATCGCTCGATAAAAGTCGCAAGCGTGACGCCAAACAACAACCAAAGCAAACCCAACAAATAAAGCAAAAAAACAGTGAAAAATAAGTGTTGAAGGGAAATGGGCGAGTGGGCAAATGGAAAATGAAAATGAAAAACGCACGCGATCTGCGACTTATTGAGACGAGAAGGCAAAACAATGCTTGGAAGCACCCAGGGCTGTAATTTTGCACCATTTAATATGTAATTAGCTTTGTGTTAAGTAAACTAACTAAACTATGTACTCGTTAACAACAACAACAATAACAATAACAACAACCACAGCAACTGCAATAGCAATAGCAACAACTAACTAAGCAACCAACGTGTCCAAACGTACAAATTAGTTTCTCGCTGTGTATGGCACCTGGCCATAGGCCGTTCGCACACACATATACTCACGCAAAGATTTGCTGTTATGCACACACACGCGCATGCAAAGATTTGCTGTTAAGCGCACACACACACACGCGCGAGCACACGCACTTTCTACGAATAGTTTTGCACACACACGAACACACGCGCGTGGAGCGTTTGCATGTGCACACCCGAAGAATATAGCGTAAAGGATAGTACTAAGGCAAATGAACAAAAATTGCCAACAACAACAAATCGCATGACTTGCTGTACATGCCGCTAGCTACGGATCTGTCTCTCTTCCTTACTCTCTCTCATATTCTGTTACTCTTTCTGGCTGCATAAGTGCAGCTTAACATGTATGTATGTGATTGAGCAGCAACAACTGCACAACTTGTTACCCATCCCTAAAGCTCTTATTAGATTTCACACTCATCGACTCACGCGCTCTCTTCTTCTCTTACTCTCTTTTAAAGTCTTTTGCATGCTTCAGATATGAAATATCATTTGCAGTCATCATTGAGGCAATAAATGCACCATTATTAGCTAAATGTAATCGACATATAGGAAACATGCACACACGCACACACATACACTCACATACACACATACTGCCATCAACAACATCAACAATTTATACTAAATATACAAGATTTGAGTATTAATCGATGTTTAGTTTAAATGTCGTTCGGAAAAATGGAGCTAAATTATTATTTTCTTATCATTATTATTGATTTATTAAATGTTTTGTTTCTTGGGTTTGAAGTGTAGGTAAAATAATACATATAAAGAAAACTTTATGTTTTTCGTAAACTTTGATTATTCTTAATGAGCAACTTGCACCTCTAACCAATCAAATGTCACCGCTACGTAAAGTTATCGTAATCGTACTCGTATACGTAATCAACAATGTATCTCACACACCAAAAATCAGATGCTGATCAACACACATGTGTAAATATATATATGTATATGCGTATACGTATGTATGTATGTATGTGTGTAGATATATATGTATCTATATATATATCAGCAAGCGCACCCCAATCAACTACCTACTCTATCTAACTACACTTAACGATATAGCTTCTTCTTTTCCGTACATACCCATTCACGATATGAACAAAGAGTATATTGGCTTTCGTCTAGTCCGTTATTGATAATTTCTTATAAGATGATCGAATTAATTGAACTCCCATTTGGGAACGCATAGCTACCATAATCCTAATCTTTATAGCTTTATGTGCAATAAAAATAATAATCTCAAGCTATAATAAATAAAATTTTTATGTATTTCAAATCGTCTACGATCGTGAACGAGTATTATGCAGTCGGTTGCATCCGACTTGTTTTTGCTAGTTCAAGCCGAGCAGCAAGAATAAACGTTTCTTTTTCTATCAGAATATTACCACACACACACATAGACTCCAACACATACGCTCACTTACTATATGTATAGACTCTATATATTTATACATATAGTATATGATATAACTATCGTAACTGCACTTTTCTCTTAGTATGTACCCAAAAAAGCTGCATCGACTATTGTTTAGCCCACTGTCAAGTGACACCAACTAAATCTAAAACTTAACTGCTTGATATGATTTTTGAATCAACTTTAGCTCTATGTCTACTAAATGCGTACATCAATATATGAATATATATAATATCTATATATATATCTATATAACTACTCTCTATCCTACTTACTCTACTATATTTGAATACATATGCCGTATGTGCTTCTTGTAACATTCGTTTGTCACCAACAACAGTTAACTAATACTACAACTACTATTATACTCAATTAACCAATATATATATATATATCCTTATCTCGTATACGTATATATATATATATATATATATATACATATATATATATATAAATATACATCCTATACATATGTATGCCTATATCAACAAAATGTTAACGGTACTTTGCCTAGTCTAAAAACTAAACTATTAGAGCAAGTCCCTATCTGCCCCCATAATATCCGAGAACCCCTGAGGTTTATCAATCTCTGCTGTATTCTTCCAAACACAGCTGAGACCATATTGGGTAGACACAGCACCATGGAGATACGCTCAATACATCTGGGTGGACTATTCCATGCCGAGGAGGAGATACAGATGACCTCGACCATGCCCAACTTTGTTGGCCAAATGCAGGGCTTCATATTCAATGGACAGCGGTAAATCGATGCGATCTATCTAGAGGAATGTCCTCAGATCCTAAAACAAAGTGTTTGCCTTACTCAGATATCTGGATATAGTAAAGTCCCTGGGGCCCGAGCTATCAGCTCTTCCCAGTGCGACCTTCAAGTTGACAGCTCGATTTGTGAACTCTCCGGCCGGACAGCCCTATCATGCAGCCACCTTCAGATCGAAGCACTCCTATGTGGGCCTGGCCATGCTGAAGGCCTACACCAGTATCTCGGTAGACTTCCGCTTCAAGACCGTCGAGCCGAATGGCTTGCTGATCTTCAATGGGGGGCGACGCAACGATTTTGTGGCCGTGGAGCTGGTCAATGGACACATTCACTACACCTTCGATCTGGGCGACGGGCCGATCACGATGCGCGACAAGTCTCGGATTCACATGAATGACAATCGCTGGCATCAGGTCAGCATACGACGACCTGGCCCGAAGACCCACACCTTGACCGTAGATGACTCGTTCGAGATCATCACATTGACTGGAAACAATATGCATCTCGAGCTAGCTGGCATCTTGTACGTTGGAGGAGTGTTCAAGGACATGTACTCCAAGCTGCCGGGCTCGATATCCTCGCGGTCTGGCTTTGAGGGCTGTTTGGCGTCACTGGATCTGGGCGACTCGTCGCCCTCGCTGACCAGCGATGCTGTGGTGCCCAGCTCCCTGGTGGTCAGCGGCTGTGAGGGACCCACCAAGTGCAGCCAGAATGCGTGTGCGAACCGAGGACTCTGTGTCCAGCAGTGGAACACCTACGCCTGCGAGTGCGACATGACTTCCTACACGGGCCCCACCTGCTACGACGGTGAGTAGCCATTGACTTCCGGACAGAGTAAACTCATATATGTTATTCCCCTCCACATTGCAGAGTCCATCGCCTATGAGTTTGGCAGCAACAAGGGCATAGTGCAGTACACCTATCCGGAGAGCGCGCAGGCCGACACCGAGGAGGACAACATCGCATTGGGCTTCATAACAACCAAGTCGGATGCCGTGCTGCTGCGCGTGGAGAGTGCCACGACCCAGGACTACATGGAGCTGGAGATCGTTGAGGGCAATATCTTCATGGTCTACAACATTGGCAGCGTGGACTTGCCGCTGGGCGAGATCGGCACCAAGGTGAACGACAATGCTTACCACGTGGTGCGCTTCTCGCGCAAGGGCGGCAACGCCACCCTCCAGCTGGACGACTACAACGTGCAGACTCTGACGCCGCAGGGTGAGCTCGAAACGGTAGCCAGTCGAAGTTCACTTAACTATGATCTCTGACATCTGTTTGGCAGCCCATCATTCCACGGTCTTCAACACCATGTCGAGCATTCAAGTTGGCGGCAAGTTTAGTCGCAATGGCCGCACGAGGATCGAGCGTCCTTTTGCTGGTGTCATCGCCGGTTTGTCGGTGAATAAGCTGCGCATCCTGGACCTGGCTGTCGAACGTGATCCTCACATCACGATTCGCGGAGATGTTCAATTGGTAACTGGAGTATTAGATAGAAATGATCTGCAGAGAATGCAGCAGGTTAGGGAATTTATTTGAAATTTTATTTCAATTCCTCCTCTCAACTTTTACAACGTTTTTCAAGTATTTTTCTCATCATCGTAACAAAAGTCTTATTCCAAATTCTTACTTTTGTAATCAATAACAAACCAAAAACTAAATCCAGATATTGTAAATTAATCAGCTTTTATTCAGTGTGTGAACCACATTTCAACCAGACTTCCATATATCCTGTATATATATACATATACATATACATATATATTAATAAATTAAGCTTTTGCTTTGGTAGATCTTTGGAAAAAAATTTGGTTCCACATTGAAGATTAAAACTAAAAACTAAAAGTATTAGCCAATTAAATGTTTAAGCTAGTGTAAATGCCTTATTTGTCATTATTTGACCTTAATTTCATATACATTATATATACATATATATATGTAAATCTTTTAATTTTCCCATTATTTCTGTCAGCGTGTTCTACATTAATCTTAAAGTAATGCTTATTGTTAACAGCACCAGCTAAAAAGAAACAAATTAATCCACTGCCATTGCCACTAACCTGAGCTATCAGTTATTCATGCATATATTGCGATATATATGTATTATTTATTCTAAATACTATATATTATATAGCACATACTTATACTATATATAACATATTCCATATGCAGTTAGATATCTCTCCTTTTGTTTGCACTGTAACTGCGCACTAATGCTGCATGACTCTACACACACATATACCCAGCACTAAAAGAAAAACATAATTACACACACACACACACACAAATACATGCATATACACACACGCACACACATAATTGTACGCTTGGAGAAAAAGGAAGGAGTTTTGTTTCATTTGAAACACAATGTTGCCATTTTGGCATAAATAAGTTTGAATTAACGGACCTTCGAAATGAACCATGAAGCGATTCATTTATTCAGATATAATATTGAAATTTTTCAACACTCTTAAATTTGTGCCTCTTCGTAAGGCGCGATCATCGTTTATGAACGATAATAGTTCAGATATTCAAATATGGATTGCTCACTCACGTAGCAATCGATTAAACTGTTCATAATAAATAATTGAAAATTAAAAATAATTCATATTTTACGATAACTCAATTGCTATCGATATTTACAATTTGCATTTACATTTGCATAACGAATTCAAATCCGCCTCTGAGTGTACGCTGCTTACATTAACCACATACACAAATTAATGCACCTACTCGTAATCGACTACTCAGTTACCATTCACTAACATACAATAAACATACATATTATGTGTGTGTGGATCGACTGAGGTAAAATTAGACTTTGAACTCTACTCGACAGACGCCGGCGAGTGGCTATCCGGGCGCCATAGACGACCTGATCTTCTCCGGAGCCGGATCCGGTTGTCGCGGCGACGACGAGGATGAATGCACGCCGCCCTTCGAGTCGGGCAGTGGAGATGACCTGATCACACCCGTCTATGTGCCGCCCACCAAGCAGACAACAACCACACAGCAGGGCAACTCGCTGGGCAGCAGCAACAACACGAACAACACCAATGGCACGGAGCGCGCCTGCGATGATGAGGATTGCGTGCACGGGTCCGGGGACTACGGCGAGACTACGGAGCAGTTCACATCGTCGAGCACGGCCAAAGGTGCAGGTGAGTGCAAAATTGAGTCTTTTCTTAAACCTGTTGCCTTCATTTTGTTGGCCAGTGTGGTGTCATTTTGTCATTGACATTTGCATCACACAGACACAGAAACAGACATACACGCACGCACACAGTCACACACACTCTAAGCCACACATGTGACATAATTAGCTAGCCAAAACTGTATTGTTCAAGTATATAATATAAAATATATAATATACATATATTGTATTTAGAAACCTATATACTCGTATGTAGAGCGTTTCATGTTTCAAATCTGGGTTGTTTTTGCCTTATGTCTAGTACATACTTACATGCATACATGTATATATGAACATATATACATATATGTATACATATATATGTAAACTTTTGTATTTTAGTTGTTCTCGTTAACGATCTTGTTCGCTGGGTTTTTGCGCGCCTTGAACTATGCTACGCTTTTTGATAACGCTTTGATTACATACTCACACACACACACACACATATATATATACATACGTATGAACAGACAACCATCTGGCTCAACTCAAAAAAGAACTTAAATCTATCCGGAAAAAGGCTAAATTGACAACACTGCTACATATACGCGCACACATATACACACAGAGACATTTACACACACAACAGACATTGATCAGGCTCAATATCGAACTCAAAAAAACGACTTAAAACTCTTCAAATCAACTCTCACTCAAATCGTGTCATCCTCTCAGCCTCAGTTTCAGTTTCAGTTTCAATTCAGCGTTCCACTTCATCCACTCAATTGCTGATGATGAATTTGAACTGACAATGAGTACGCCTTATGTGTCTCTTTCAGAATGTGAACAGGTCTTCATATTTCTGACTCTGATTGCGCCTTGGATACTTTGTAAATTTTGAATAATGCAAAAAGAACGCAACACAATGCAATGCAATGCAAACCACACATAGGCTAAGCTCCTAAGCACTTAGACAGTGTCTAACGACTTGTATGAATATACATATATCGACATACATATATACCTACATATACATATATGTATATATTTAGCATATGTGCATATGTATTATATGTAACTGAGCAATACCACCAACAACAGCAACAACAAATCGAACAACAACAACAACTACAACTACAACTAATCCAACAACTTATTAAAACAACACATTAAAAAGCGTTTGGGCGGGTTCAAGGAAGAAAATGAGAGAGTTAAGAAATATTTAAACGATGCATTAACAGCTCCTATTAGAACATATCCAATTAGTATCCAAAGCAATTCTGTAAGTTAAATTCCATTCCGAATAGTTTTGCCAATGCATCAGAGTAGGCATACACACACGCATATAAAATATCAAATGTGTGTGTGTGTGCTACCAAGTAATGTATATTTATATTAATAAAAGATTCATACATATTTGTGTGTCTATATATGTATATGCTGCAGAAGAGAATATTTATCGATAGTATTTATGCATAGTATACATATGTATGTATATATACACACATACTTCTATAGGTGATCGTCAGTACAAGCAATAGATTGAAAGAGAAGGATATTTAACGAAAGTATTTTTGCATATTAATCTTACACATACTTACAAATATATATATACATGTATAGATGAGAGCGAGCGCATAGAGAGAACTAGTTAACGAAAGTATTTTTGCATAGTCAACTTACACATGTAGACAAATGTGAGTGGGAGCAAATGAGAAATCAACGAAAGTATTTACATACACAGAGAGCGTGAGAGAGCGAGAGATGGTCAGTGAGTGAACACAATGTATTTTTTGCATAGTTAACTTACACATGTGGGCAAATGTGAGTGGGAGCAAATGAGAGAGTTATTTAACGAAAGTATTTACATACACACAAGCATACATAGGTGAATGAGCGTGCGAGCGAGCAAGCGAACGTAGGGCAGTGATTGAATATAATGTATTTTTTGCATAGTTAACTTATTACATATTACATACATACATACAAATGTAAAGCTTACCTAAGTACCTAATGTACGTTTAGTTATATTCCAATTGTACATATCAGAAAATCGATGCACAGCAGCAGCAGCAGCAGCAGCAGCAGCAGCGGAAGCTGCTGCAACATATCTCTCAATATCAATTATGACGCTCTTTAAATTTATGTTCAATAAATAATTAAAACTAAATTCAATCTTTATTGGGGCGGGCACAACCCACACACGCACACACCCAGAGCACACCCAGCGCACACACATACGCAGAGTATTCCTAACGTAGACACTAAAAACCGCTGCTAACCACTTGCAGAGTCCAATAACGAGCTGGTGACCGCCTCAACCACTGGACGCAGCGATATAACCACCGAGCAGCAACACAGCAGCAGTAGCAGCAGCAGCAGCGGTGGCAGCAGCACCACCTATGTAACCACCATATCCAGTGCAGGCAGCGGCGGCGGCAGCAGCACCTCAGGCAGTCAGCCGAGCAGCACCGCCAGTTTGGGCACCACCACTCAGCGCATTAGCAGCAGCAGCAGCACCTCCACCACGAGCTCAACCACAACCACCACGTCGGCAACGACAACGAGCAGCACCACCACCAGCACCACCCAGTTGCCGGAGGTGCCAGCCACGGAGCGGGAGACGACGCCCGATAGCTACGTGCCGATAGGAGGCGGCAGTCATCGAGATCACGAGCGTATGCAGCTGCCGGATGAGCACCAGCTGCCGCCGCTGCCACCTCCACTGCCACCACAGCCAGACCCACCACCGTACGGGCCCTATGGCGGCAACACCTACACCAGCAATGTGAACAGCGGCAGCTACCGACCCAAGGGCGGCAAGGGCGGGCGCATCAATTCGATTGAGGAGGAGCGCACGGCCATGATCATTGGCATTGTGGCGGGCATCCTGATAGCCGTCATCCTCGTCATCCTGCTCGTGCTCTGGCTCAAGTCGAACGGCGACCGCGGCTACAAGACGGAGAGCGAGAAGGCCGCCGCCTACGGCTCCCACAACCCGAACGCGGCGCTGCTGGGCAACAACAGCACCAATGGCTCCTACCATCAGCAGCGCCAGCACCACCAGGCAGCGGGCGGGCAGCATCACAGCCAGCAGCAGCAGCACCACCAGCAGCAGCAGCAGCATCACAACCTGAACGGGCACAGCAGCAGCGGCGGCGGAGGGGGAGGCATGATGTCCAGCGGCAGCGGCTCCCTCGGCTACGGCAGCGATGGACGGCCACAGATGGCAGGCCTCGTGCAGCCCAAGGCCAAGAAGCGCGACTCCAAGGACGTCAAGGAGTGGTATGTGTAAGGCCCCAAAGCCACCAGCGAGAACCAGCGTCAAATTAGCAATATACAAAGACACACACACACACACACACACATACAAAGCTTTAATGCCGATCTAAAGGTTGATCTCTTCAGTATCCCCCTCAACACAAATGCATACATACATACATATATACATATACATATATATAGCATATGTATCTATGGACGAGGTGTGTTCAAATAAGATCATTTTCACATTCGATTTCCCCAAATGAAGTAAACATTTCGCGATCGGGTACCGACGACTGCATAAAATACTCGTTTCGATTGTATCATGAGAGCATGTGACTATATCAAGCAGATCGATAACTGTAGCTGATATATAGAGTGTACTATGTGCCACGCCTTACCGGTAAGCATAGCTACATACCCTAGAATTTGTCTGCTTATCAAGTTTAGGCATACCTTACATATGCCTTATATCATATTCAGATAAGGCAGCTGCATGCGCAATTGGCTGCTAGAAACCCATATACCCCGTTGCATACTTAAAGAACGAGTATTTATTTGACAACCTTAAGGCGTGCGAAGGGTACAAAATGATGGAGTGCGGATAATAAGCGAAGCCACGCCATTAGATTGATTATGTTTATGCACACACACACACACACAGACACACACACATATATATAAATATATAAATAATAATATTTTACCTGCATATGCATAAGTTTTAATGGGCAAAACTTATTTAAAACAAAATTAACACGAAATATTAAATTCAGCAAATGAGAAATTATTGCCTAAGAAATTATAAAGCTTCAAACTAAAGACTTGCTAAAAGAAAATACAAAAAAGAAGAGGAGAAGAAAGGGAGGTGGAGGAGGAATCACTCTATATATATACTATATATACTATATAGGTATACAAGCATTATATCATTATGTTAAAACTAATAACGCCACTAGCCAATCGAATAATTGTGTAAAATATTTCGCTAAAAAAACAAGAAATGAAAAAACAAAAGATCCAATGTTGGCCCCATTGAAACAAACGAAAACTGCAAATGAAATTCAAATGAAAGTTAGCGAATATCTATGTAAAACGTAATTTAAATATTATAAAGAAACCAATATACAATATATGATATATGATAATATATATATATACATATATATATAATGTTCTATAAGCAGTTTCTGTTTGTTACAATATGTGGTGCTGTAATCTAACTATATATATGTATATATATATAGTATATATGTATGTATATATGCATATATACATATATACAGGTATATATATATACACACATATATATATTATAAACGATATCATACAAAAAATAGTGCTAAAGACGAGAAAACTCTGCTTATGTTCGATTCTTTCGATTGAAAATGGCTTTAATTGACTTCAAGCGATCAATTTTATAATGCAACAATTTTTACCTTTCCTTTAGCGTGCAGCAATACATACTACGGAAATTGAAATTGAATTTGTAATTTGAATTACGATTAAAACTGAAAGTGAAATAAATTAAATTTATAATTCGTCTGAAATTGAAATAGAAATCCAGTTTGAAATTGATATTGAAAGAAAAACTCAATTTGTAATTAAAGGACAAGTTCAAATTCGTATTTTCTAGTTCAAAGATTGAAATTCAAATATGCAGATTCAAATTCAAATTAAATTTAAGTTGAAACCAAAAAAAAAAAAAAAAGAGAAAAAACAAACCCTAAACTATATACTTTGAATATGTATATGTATTTGAGACTATATATTGTCATAGAACACTTATGCAATATGAACTCTGACATATCAATTAAAAAGACACCAACACCAATACACACACACACAAACACACACACACACACACTTGACACACGACACTGAAGCGAACCTACCTAGCTTTCTTTACAAACGCTATCCAATTGTGAGCAAAATTACTTTACAGCTGAAAGAAATGAAGAAACAGAAACGGAAACGGTTAGGGAAACGGTAATGATAACGGTAACGGTTAACTGTTATGGCTGGCAATGGAAGCAAGCAACAATTTTACAGTATTAGAGCCGCTTTGTGCATATTTTTCGAGGCTTACGTGACGTATACGCAATCAGCAGCAACTAAAACATCTATCAATAAGATAAAGAACATACACACACACACATACATACACACACAAACACACACATACAAAAAACACACACACGCACACATACATATTCACATTTTGTAGACAGCTTTTCATTTTGTTATCTTTCTGCTGCTATTTGTATAAGAATTTTATTTTGATAAATATACTCCGAAACATATATTTTACATATGTACTTGTTTATATATATTTATATTGGAGTACATACATACACACACATACATACAAACACACGAGTTTAGCTAAATCAATTTCTCATTCATTTCTAGCGCTTTTTTTGAATTCGACAATATCAAAAGTATATATATACTTGAGATATGTGTACATTTGACTCCTAACTACTTATATACACAGACATATATATATCTATATCGCATTTCAAACAAATTTTTGATATATTTTTTGAGTTACGGAAAACTTGAACAAAACAAAACAAACTAGGAAATCTAGGAAAAATATAAACAAAACCTACACTTAGAACAATTTAAACACTATGCAATGCACACATACATATATACATATATATACACATACACATACATAACTATATATACTTTACAATTTATATATATATATATATATATATATATATA